ATGTTTTTAATTGCTTTGTATTTTTTCTGTCTATTTTCCTTTCTCTTTTGTTTTTTTGTTTTTCTTTTCTTTCATTTGTGTATGTGTTGTTGGTTTGTTTTAATTGTAAAATTAATAAAATTTATAAAAAAAAAAAAAAAGAAGAATTAGCACAGAAAATTAGAGGTGCTAAACAGAATTACTTTGAAGATGCAAATAAACCAGGTAGATGGTTAGCATATAAATTGAGAAAGGAGAAAGAGTCAAGGAAAATATTGCAATTAATAGATGATCACGGCCAAGTTTGCTATGATAGTAATGAGAAGAAGGAAATCATTCGAAACTATTATCGGAAACTATACACACAAGAGAATATTGATGAGGAAAGAGTCAAACAGTACCTACAGAATGCTAAGTTACCCCAGATACTTAAAGAGATTGAAACAATGTTAGAAAGCAATATAACGATGATGGAGTTAAGTGAAGCACTCAAGAAGCAAAATAATGGAAAGGCACCAGGCCCAGATGGACTTCCGGCAGAATTTTATAAAACACCACAAGAACCGTTGAATCTTCTATTGCTAAAAGTTATGAATGAAGTTATGTTAAAGAAGAGGATACCCAAATCATGGTCAGAAGCTTATATTACACTTGTTCCAAAAGAGGAGGCTGATCCATTACAAATCAAGAACTATAGACCGATTTCCTTACTAAACGCAGATTATAAAATTTTTGCTTCAATATTGGCAGAAAGACTTAAAAAATACTTGAGTAATTTTATCCATCCTTATCAAAATGGATTTCTGCCAAAGAGACAAATTAAAGACAATATGAGAGTAATCTTGGACACTTTGGAATATTACGAGGCACATCCTGAAAAACAAATGGCTTTGATATTTCTAGATGCACAGAAGGCATTTGATAATGTGATTGGCAATTCATGTTGTTACTGCTGGAACAGATGGGCTTTGCTAGAAAATTTATTCAAGCAATAGAAGCTATATATCATAATCAAATGGCAAAGGTAATAGATAGAGGGAGAACTGACAAGGGTGCCCACTGTCACCTCTGCTGTTTGTGTTAACTTTGGAAGTGCTAAATAGAAATATTAGAGATGAAAAGAGTATAAAAGGGATGAAAATTCAAAAGGAAGAATTTAAGTTGCAAGCATTTGCAGATGATCTGGTTTTTATTCTAGAAGCCCCATTAGAAACAGCATCAAAATTGATAGAAAAGATAGAGGTATATGGAAAGGTGGCTGGTTTGAAAATAAATAAAGATAAGACAAAGATCTTGACAAAGAATATACTATCAAGACAAAAGGAATAACTGGTGGATCTATTGAAAATTCAGGTCACGAATAAGATCAAGTACTTGGGGATACATTTGACAGCAAGATGTAGTACACTAAAAGAGAATAATTATATTAAACTTAAGTAGCAGAAAGCGCTAGATTTGGCGAAATGGGGAAATTTACAACTGTCATTAATAGGGAGAATATCAACAATCAAGATGAATATACTACCCAGAATTTTATATTTGTTCCAAACAATTCCATTTAGGCTTGGGAAAGATTATTTTGAAGATTTAAATAAAATTGTGTTGAAATATATATGGCAAGGTAAGAAAGCGAGAATAAAGTTAAAACTTTTACAAGATACCTGAATAAGAGGAGGATTTGGTTTGCCTAATTGGGAGTTGTATTACCAAGCTGAAAATCTGATGTGGGTTAAGGAATGGATAACATTAAAAAATACTAGATTGTTGAGATTAGAAGGACATGATCTGTTGTTGGGGTGGCATGCTTTTCTATGGTATAAAGGAACTAAAACACAGGGGTATTTTAGAAGACATTATATACGGGAGTCTCTGTGGTTAAACTGGGAGAAGATTAAAAGACAATGTTATTTGAAAATTCCAGTCTTGTTATCGACTAGTGAAGCATTTTGTTATCCTATAATATACAAAAAGGAACAAACAGTTAGATATGGTGAAATATTGAATGAAAAGGGTGAACTTAAATCTATACAAAAACTAGAGGAACAAGGTATAAAGATGAATTGGTTTTCATTGGAAATGTCATCAGACACCTGGCTCATATTTCCATATGTGGTGGACTTGTGCGGATGCTAAAAAATACTGGACTAAAATCCACACGTTGTTGGAAAAAATGACAAAAAAGCATATAGACTTGAAACCAGAGATATTTTTATTGGGAGTTTTATAGCAAAATATATAGCAAAGAATTGAAATACCTGATTGTAAATGTATTAACAGCAGCTAGGATTGTATTTGCTAAAAACTGGAAAAATGAGAAAATACCATCACAAGGAAATTATTAAGAAAATATTGGAATGTGCTGAAATGAGCAGATTGACATTTGAAATTAGAGAACAAGATGATAAACAATTTTATAAAGTTTGGGGTCTATTCTATCAATGGTTAGACTATTGATAAGTATAGTAATGAAATATGTAGACTTTTAGAAAATACTAAATATATAAAGATGTATTCTTTTCTTATTATATCTACAGAATGTTTTTAGGATAGATTTGGGATGATAATATGAATTGTCACAAAACAAATTAAGTAAAATATGATTATTTTCCAAAGCATGAATGAATAAAACTATAGTCAAATGATTAATAATGATACCAATGTATTTAATATTGGATTGAAAATATGAGATCATATACAATGTAATTGTAATTGAAGACTACGAAATGGAAGTAGAAAACAATCTGTAAACCAACCGACACACTGTATGTACATATATGGAAGATGGCCTGATGTTTTTATGTTTTGTTTGTTTTAAAAACCAATAATTTTTTTTTAAAAAAATGACCATCAGATCATTAGTATTTCATATATTATTATTAACACACTCTGATACTAAGGAATTCTACTCCCCCTCTCCACTTGCAAAACACAAGCAGAGGAGAGGAGGTTCAATTTCAGAGCACCAAGCAGCTTTAGTACAGAACAGTTGAGCTAAGCTACACCCAGTCTCCTTGCTGTCTCTTTACTCACACAGCAAATACTGTTTGTTTCCAAGCAGCCCACAACTCTCTCGCACACTGACAGGACACTAGCCAGATGAATACCGATGGATGCTGATAGGCAGAGGCAGAATTTTTTTCTTCTTATTTTCCTCCCAAAAAACTAAACCCAAACACATAGTTTCATAACGAAGCACGGGTATCCAGCTAGTCCAGCATATAAAATGCACCAATGTGCATATTGCCAATTGTTTCGAAGGCTCGTTCTTCATAGCTGATATGGGATTTTTCATCTGCAATTCTATTGCAGTACAAGCAGTCCTCAATTTACAACCAAAATTGAGCCCAAAATTCATCTTGGTAAATGAAACATTTATTAAGTGAGTTTTGCCCCATTTTGCAACTTTTCTTGCCATATTTGTTATCACTGAATTATTTGTTGAATTAGTAACGGTTGTGAAGTGAATCTGGCTTCCCACAGACTTTGCTTATCAGAAAGTTGCAAAAGGGGATCATTTGACCCTAAGACAGTGCAGCCGTCATATGACTCCATTCCCAAGCATCTGAATTTTGATCATGTGACCATGGGGATGCTGCAATGGTTGTGAGTGAAGAATGGTCATAGGTCACTTTTTTCAGTGCTGTTGTAACTTCAAACGGTTGCTAAATGGACTGTTGCAAGCTACATGTATTCATGGCAGCAACGGGGGCTTCTTTCATTAGTATTATTAGTAACTAGGAAATTCTTTGATTAATGCTACTATAAGATGTCTTTGAAGTAACAAAGCAAGCTGTCCATCAGGAATGTAGAGTCTGATAAGAACTGGTTCAAACTTGCAAAAAACAAGAATCGTATTAACAATATAAGAAAATGCTATGGAATATTATATGTTCCAAAGTTACTGAGCAAGCATGCACGTTAGAGATGTTAAATGATATTAACCAATGAAAGAACTCATTCCAAACTCAACATGTTTGAACTGAATAGAAAGTGAGTTTTTAACCTTTCTATGCTGTTCCTCTTCTCTCTTGGGTGAGGTGCCATTCCTTATGTGTGTACTTAAAGAGATTTTAATATACCTTTCCTGCTTGAGTTCTGTTTGGACAAGATATATCGGACAAATGGATCTGTCGGATGTTTCTGCAACCATTCAACATTCTTGACCAAAGTAAGCGATGGAATAGATTGTAATCAAAGAAACATTTCGATACTGCTCCCAAGAAACTACATGAATTTTATCAATCAGAAGTGAAACTCAACTGGAAGGGTTTTTGACATACCCTGAGCGGTATATGTTTTTGTATTTTAGAGAAGAGAAGGGTCCAAGGAAGGCATGAAAGCGGTGTTCAATATTTGAGGGGCTGCCACAGGGAGGAAGGGGTCAATCTATTTTCTAAAGCACCTGAAGGCCAGACAAGGAATAATGGATGGAAACTGAACAAGGAGATTCAACCTGGAAATAAGGGAGAAGTTTTCTGACATCGAGGACAGTCAATTAGCGGAAAGGCTTGCCTTCAGAAGTTGTGGGCGCTTCATCACTGGAAGCTTTCAAGAAGAGACTGGACTGCCATCTGTCAGAAATGGTGTAGGGTCTCCTGCTTGGGTGTCCCTTCCAACTCTGTTATTCTATTATCTCACCGGATGATGCGAGGAGGTTGGAGGTGGGGGGAGTACGAGGAACGGGAAGTGCATAACAGAAGAAGCACCCGGAAGCTTTTTGTATTACACATACAATTAAAAAAAAAAGTGTAGTTAAAAACTCTCTGCGACGCTCTTTCGTTTCTTCCGTTTCCTCATTTCCGGCACTGTGTCCCCTCCTTTTAAAATCCCTCCTTGAAGGAAGACATCATCTTTTCCATGTTACCTTACAAAATTAAACTACCAGCTATAAATAAACATATCTACACGTACGTGCACACACGCGCAGTTCCTCTTCAGGCGAGACCCCTCCCGCTTTAAAGAGCCAAGGTCGCTCCGCCTCCCCCACTTGCGTCTCAGAAGGAAGCGGAAGTGACGTTCTGTGCTTCAAGTAGGTAGAAGAGAGCCGGAAAGAGGGAGGGTTAAGGCTCGGGCCCGGCAGCCGGAGGGAGTCGCAGATCAGCTGCTACTGTCTCCGCCGTCGCTGCCCGGACCCTCCAGGTAACGCGGTGGGGTTTTTTTTCAAATCGTCGCGCGCATGCGCGAGGATCCCTTCTCTCCGTCTCTCTTCGCCCCTCGTGACGGGGGCCGCCGGGGGAAGTTGGTTGCCATAGAAACGGGAGTTCGGGGCTGGGGGAGCGGGAAGAACCGAAGGAGGGATCGCGCCGGCCAAGCGATGCCTCGTCGCGAAGCCCCGTGGCTGACGCTCCGACAGGGCTGCCCTGTCGAAGAAGGGCAAGCTCTTCCCTCACCAGTGCGAGGGAAGGGCAGAGTTTGTCCCGGCGGGCTGCTTTCCCGAAAGGCGGGCTCGGGTGAGGAGGGCGGCGGGATATCTCCCTCCTTGTGGCGGGGGAGGGAGGCCCGTTTACGACGGCCGGGAGGTTTCTCCGATGGGGATCGCCTGGGGCAGGGGTCTCCAACCTTGGCAACTTTAAGACTTGTGGACTTCACCTCCCAGAGTTCCTCAGCCAGCTTTGCTTAAAAGTCTTAAAGTTGCCAAGGTTGGATACCCTTGGCCTGGGGAAGTTAGAGGTGGGGGTTGCAATGGTAAAGGAAGAGGGGTCCTTCCTTAGGCTGCTTCCTCTGCCCCCGTCCTCTTCATTTGTTCCATTAAAATTCGGGTGAAGCAACAGTCTGGCTCACAGGAGGTGGGAAGATTGGGTTGAGGGTCCTTCTGACACCTTGATGGATGGATGGATGGATGGATGGATCGATCTGCCAGCTTCACTCGTGGTGGTGGTGGTGGAGCGGGGTGGGGTAAATCATGGGGATAATATCACACCCGAAATTCTCTTTTCTTGCCCTCCTTTTGATAAGGTGCCTTAAAAGTTCGTGTGACTTTTCTCCACCTAAGATGTATGAACTTTGCAGTGAGGTTTCCTTCCTCCTCTCCTAGTTTCTGCTGTTGCCGTTTAAGGATGTTGAATTGCTGTTTTGCTTGTGCTGGGGTTGGGAATGGATGGCAGTTGAATATTTGTCTGGAGAGCACCAAGTTTAGGAACGCTGTGAACTGAAGGGAGGCACAGACGCAGCAGTATTGCACAAAGGACAAAATGAAGGTGATGCAGTTTGCAGGAACCTGTTGCATATTTTATGAACTGCTTTTTCTTTAGTACAGTAATTTGTATCCCAGATACTGCTTACCTTGGCTCTACATGGTGTATTTCCACCTCTTTCCCAATAGTGTAAAAGATTTTTAATAGTCCATTGGGAAGACTAGGAATGAAGGAATCATCTTCCTTCCATTTTATCAGTTATTTATATGGGCTACTTGAGTGGTTTGGTTGTAGTGTGGAAATACCTGTCTAGCTATGCTTCAACACAGTTTCATTCTGCCTGCCTTGGTGTTTCTTTGTTAGTTTCCAATGATGAGACTGTGAGATGAAAAGAACCCATAATAGAGACTGTGCCTATAGTTTAATAGAAATCATTTATGGGAATGAGGAATTTCTTTAGCTTCCCCTTTGCTTTCATCAGTATTACAATCTTTATTAATAATATACAGGTAGTCCTCCGATTATAACCTTTCATTTACTGGCTGAAGTTACACCAGCACTGAAAAAGCTGACATGACAGTTTTCACACTTAAAATTGTTGCAGCATCCATATGGTCACATGATCAAAATTCAGATGCTAGACAACTGACTCACATTTATGAGGGTTGCAGTGTCCTGGGGTCTTATGATCACCTTTTGTGACTTTCTGACAGGCACAGTCAATGGGGAAGCCAGATTCACTTAACAACCATATTACTAATTTAAGAACTGTACTGATTAACTTAACAACTGTGGCAAGAAAGATCATAAAATAGGGTAAAACTTAACTGTCTTGCTTAGCAGCAGGAATTTTGGGCTCAATTGTGGTCGTAAATTGAGGGCTACCAGTACTTGTATTTTTAACATTGCTTGGTTGTAGTTTGCTCTGGTCTGGAATCCTTTTGAAGAAGAATCTGTGTGCTCATAAAAAGTTTGTGTGCAAATATATGTATCCATGGGTTTGTGCACACATGTAACAGCCAACATTTCCTATTTTTACAGGGGGGGAGAGATGGCTGAAATCAGTGACCTTGACCGTCAGATTGAACAACTGCGGCGCTGTGAACTCATCAAAGAGAGTGAGGTTAAAGCCCTCTGTGCAAAGGCCAGGCAAGTGTTGGTAAACTTCTGAGCAGTAACTGCTTTTACACGACAGAGGCAATTCTAGATGACACATCTCTCTTTTCTTTCCAACAGAGAGATCTTGGTGGAAGAAAGTAATGTCCAGAGAGTAGATTCCCCAGTAACAGTGAGTAAGGGTTTTGGGGGGATGCTTCATAATACCTTAGACTGGTGTGGTGACATCAGCAGCCAGGCAAACTTTTATTTTTTTTATCCTTGATGCATTTTCTTCCAGGTTTGTGGGGACATCCATGGCCAGTTTTATGACCTGAAAGAGCTTTTCAGAGTGAGTGCTGAAACCCACTAGTTCCATGCTGCCTTCTGCTGCTTCTTTTCTGTAGATTCCCTAATTTTATATGTAACCTTTTCATGTGTTCTGTGTCTTCCTGCGCCAGGTGGGTGGAGATGTACCTGAGACCAACTATCTTTTCATGGGAGACTTTGTTGATCGAGGCTTCTACAGTGTTGAAACATTCTTGCTGCTGCTGGCACTCAAAGTAAGGAAAGCCTTGATAAGTCAACATTGATTTTTTTTTTCTTTCCAACTTAAAAGTCAGCATGTGCTGGCAGTGATGCCAGTTTGGCTAATACCTTTTTAAATCTGAAGGCTAAGCTAAATGGACCCACTTCTTTTTACAGGTTCGCTACCCGGACAGAATCACCCTTATCCGTGGCAATCACGAAAGCAGGCAGATCACCCAGGTATATGGGTTTTATGATGAGTGCTTGAGAAAATATGGCTCTGTCACCGTGTGGCGTTACTGCACTGAGATTTTTGACTACCTCAGCCTCTCTGCTATTATTGACGGCAAGGTGAGTATGCAAGTATATTCTTGAATCGTGATGAATTATGGATCTGAAGGAGATCAAATTCTAATTTGAAGGACTAACTGTCTGAAAATTAAAGGGGAAAAAACAACTTATTTTACTTGCCAAGACATGTAATTATGTTATAATCACTGGTGGCATGGGGCCGATTCAAAACGAATGTCTTCTCTTCATTCAAATTCAGCACTTGGTTGTTTTTAATCAAATGCATAACTGAATATCAAAGACAGTAAAGGGGTAGGAGGTGCACATAGAGATTATGTCTCTAGGATAAGGTGATCAGAGAAAAAGAGGGACAGTTTAAAGATGGAGGAAGGTCCATGATGTATACTGTATAAGTGTCTTTTCTGTTCAGATTTTCTGTGTCCATGGTGGCTTATCCCCATCCATCCAGACGTTGGACCAGATCCGAACAATAGATCGCAAACAAGAGGTCCCTCATGATGGCCCCATGTGTGATCTTCTATGGTCTGACCCTGAAGGTATAACTATGAGTCTTTCTTTTTCTCTGTGTGTGAATATTGTGCAATATATCTCGACAGTAGACACTGTAATGGCTGACTACATGTACAGATTTGGTGGAATCTGATAGGAATAGGACATGCCAAAAGCAGAGTTCAAGAGTATTGTGCCTGTAATTCTGACTCAAAATTATATTAGGAGCAAAAGAGCTAATTGGTGTTACTGCATACCCTGATGAGACTGAAATACCTGTTCTTTACAAAAAATTGGAGACCTCAGTAGATTATATTCCAAGCACATTGCGATAAATGTAAAGGTTTCCTCTACCCAAGTAATGTCTAACTCTAGGGCACGGTGCTCATCACTGTTTCTTGGCCAAGGAAGTCAGCATTGCTGAAGACGGTTTCCGTAGTTATGTGGCCAGCATGACTATATTCTGAGGTTCACAGAACACACCGAAGTAGTACCTATTTATCTACTCATATTTGCATGCTTTCAAACTGCTAGGTTTGCAGGAGCTGGGGCAGGAATGGAAGCTCACCACATCACATGATGCTCAGGTCTCAAACCCAGGCTGTCAGCTTTCCATCTGACAAGCTCAGCATCTATATCTGCTGAGCCATTGTGCCTCTACGTCGCAGAAGATGTATATAATAAATCTTGCATGTATTTGCAGTCATCAGCAAATCAAAAATCAGCAAATGGTAAAGCTTTTTAAAATCTTCCACTAAAGATAGTGAGATGTTTTGTATGCTTCCATTTCTTTCCCACTCCCAGAATTACTGTTTTAGAAGATTTTTAAAAGGGAAAAAAAAACCAGCCTTTTATGGTGGAATATATGGATATTGGTGTGAGGGGTTCTACAGTTTCTCTTTGTCAGCTGGTTGGCTTTCTTCTATTAGCTTGCAAGCACAGATGTTTCCTTTTCCTAGCATTTGCCTGCCATTTGGTTTCCCTTGTGTTGACATTCTCCTCTTTTGCTCTTCTAGACACTACAGGCTGGGGGGTCAGTCCTCGAGGTGCTGGTTATTTATTTGGCAGCGACGTGGTGGCACAGTTCAACGCAGCAAATGATATTGACATGATTTGCCGGGCACATCAGCTTGTCATGGAGGGATACAAATGGCATTTCAATGAGACAGTTCTTACAGTGTGGTCAGCCCCCAACTATTGCTACCGGTAAGAAACTGCAAAGGTGTGCCTGTGAATAGGAAGAACTGTGGGATGGGGAGAGGGAGATCGAAATCAGCTGAGTGTGCTGCCCAGGGATGTGTGGCATTGATGAAATCTGAAGCTCACAAATTCGTCCCCTCTTCTCTCTTCCAACCACAGTTGTGGGAATGTTGCAGCCATCTTGGAACTGGATGAACACCTTCAAAAGGAATTTATCATCTTTGAAGCAGCCCCTCAAGAAACCCGAGGCATCCCATCTAAGAAGCCTGTTGCAGACTACTTCCTGTGAATGCTGCTCCCCCCTCTTCCCCCTTGTGCAGCTTCTGTTTCCTATTCTGGATGGAGTGGTCAGCTTCTCTTTTAGCCTTTGGCAGGGGTTCAGCTCTCTTCTTTCCTTCTCTCCCTTACCCTGGCCCTTGCCCAATAAATTCTCAGTTCTGGATCCCTTAGACTGGATTAGCCATCTTTTCCCAACATTGCTGATTCCTGGGCAATCCCTAGGATTGCCATAATTGGTATGTCCTTTCCCCCCTCCCCCAAAAAAATCCCACTACTTTTTAGGATTTCTGCCTATGGAAAACCCTAGAACTTTGTCAGCTCTTTCCATGAAAAGAAGTATCAGCCCAGGAATGAAGAAAAGTTAATAGTTCTTGAAAGATCTCTAGTTTTGTAGAGAAGTCACTGACTGATTTCTTGGGACTTTTCTACTCATGAAGTAGCATTGTCCAAACTGGTGCTGTCCAAACATAAGACTCCTATTATCCTAGCCAACTTGGCCGTTCTGAATTAGATAATGGGAATTGTAGCATAATCAAATCTGGAGGACACTAAGAGAAGGCTGATCTAGAACAACTGGAAGTTATTGCTCAGAGAATATATACATTACAAAGAACTGGATTCTGACATAAGGAGAAACCAGATTGATCGAAGAATATCTGATCTTGTTAGGGGAGCTAATTATCTGGACTAATTCCCCCCCCC